TTCTTATTACAGTCTGGTTCTTATCTGGTATTGCTTGAGTAAATAATGGGTAGTGTGGGGTGTATTGGTTATACTGTGTATATGCTCGGTAGGCATATGCTTAAGTCTAAAGGACTTGAGGATATGTCACTATATATAGAAAACAAAAACAATTATTAAATCAACTTAATGTGAATGAGCTGTCCGTTGTATACTGCCCAACCTAGTCCCTCACGGCGGCCGTTACAGAGTTTTAAGCTCCGTCCGTGATTAGTTTGTTTTGATGCGATGGATTGCAGAAGTGCTTGCTCATCAATGACTGTAATGATAATGCTGATTTGGCTTATAATGATCGTTAAAAAATTCACATGGCAATCTTGCAGTTAATTATTGGTAAAGAATAAAATAACTCCCCGCCTTTCGCATTTCTTCACTAAACCTTGTTCCGCGATTGTTGTTATTGTGCAGTGGTATTTTGCTACCTTAATGAGAAGAATTATTGATAATTAAAGAAGATAGAAATATGCGTAGGATCGATGATCTTACTAATAAACCAGTCTGTGTATGAAAAATAGTAACGAAGGCAACTATGAGACCCAAACAAATCCACACATGTAAATCGTCTTACTAATTAATTTATAATCAAATCAACATTGTAACTAATCGTTATTATTATTAATAATTGAGTAGTTATTCATAATTAATAAAACAAATAAAACGTAATCATGCCTTGCAACTGAAATTTTGTTTACGTTTTGGGGCTTTGAAGTTTATAACTAACTATGTATTAGATATGAGTACATGAATTTCTTTCGCGACCTGCGGATTTGAATTATTTCATTGGCTACAATTGGGGTCTTTGAAATTAAAGGTTAAAGCTTTGGTAGGTTGGGTAGCGACTTCGTGTGCGTCAAACATCATCTAAGACGCCGTAAAAATAATCCTGCTGCTCCACATATTTCCTTCTCGCTTTTATTTTTTATTTTGTTTAAGTATTTGCTCTGTTTTGCTTTTTTTTTTTTGGCAAAAAGCTTTTGTATTTTCGCAATGATCGGATGGCTTATTATATTAGTTTCAGACATTAGAGCAGACACAGCAATTTTAAGGAATCATATTTATATTATTAAGAAAAAAAATCATTCTAACATTGAGGACAACCATTTCTGCCCGATTAGCAGTATAGCCCGTAGTCATACAACCGTTAGGTATGAAAATTTAAGACACAACAAAAAGTGAATGGGAATAATTATAGTAAAACGAAAATGCCGACGATCAGATACCCGTTACCCAGCTAGTGGAAGTGCAAACCAAAAATTTCAAAATTTTCTGGAATATCGGTAGAAATAGGGAAAAAATTGTTAAATGAAAAAAAGTTTTGTGCGGCTTGTGGGAGTGGCAAAAAGTTTTTTGTCGAATCTCTAAAAATTTACAAAATAAAAAAAGGGAAAAATGATCACAACATTTTTCAAAAGTGTGGGCGTGACAGTTCACAGCGTGACAGCTAGAATGTTGAGATTAAGCATGCCGCTTTCATGCCGCTGCGCAAGTTTATTTCCAAAGGTTGCCACGAGTACTCTAACGGCCACAAGCCGCACTAAGCTGCTATGGCCACACTTTTAAAAAATGTTATGATATTTTTGTACTTTTTTATTAGTGTTGTAAATTTTTATCTATTTGCCAAAAATATTTTTACCATGCCCATTCTACCGCCCACACTTTTGAAACTTTTTTTTTCATTTTTTAATTTTATTCGCAATTTTTATCGATATTCCAGAAAATTATGAAATTTTTCGTTCGCACTTCCACTAGCTGAGTAACGGGTATCTGATAGTTAAGGAACTCGACTATTACATTCTATCTTGTTGTACCTCATCCTTATGGACTCTAGACAGGTTATCAGAAACCACGTTCAGGGACCCTCGGCGGTGCTCGATGATGAAGTCAAAGGCCTGTAACTTGAGGCTCCATCGCGCTAGTGTCCCCGACAGACCTTTCTGGCCCATTAGCGTATTCAGTTATTACTTTAAAAGGCATTCCCTCCACATAACCACGGAACTTTGTAATACTGAGGTTTGCGCGGTAGCATTCTAGTTCAGTTATGCTGTAATTCCTCTGTGCCTTGTTTAGTTTTGCGGACATGTACGCGATTTGGTGTTTTCTGCCTGCGTCATCGTTCTGAAACAGAACTCCTCCCACTCCATTGGTGGATGCGTCGCATTGAATGATAAAAAGGGGTGCAGCACAGGTGCTGCTACCATGTTGTTGTTCAGGCGGCACATTAGGCGGCACATTCTTTGTGCGGCGTTGCACAAGCCGAATGGCATGACGATGAATTGGTAGAGTGGTCTGCCGGGAACCGTAAACGCCGTCTTCTCCCTTCTTTTGGGCTCCAGCGGAAATATAATAGGTTTCCTGTAGTTTACTTAGTAGGTCGTCAATGTGTGGCAAATGGCACGCATCTTTAATGGTTCGGCCGTTAACCTTGCGGGCGTCTAGACAAAAGCGATTATTGGTGCCTTTCTGCACTAGGGTCACTAGGTCACTAGGATCACTCCAGCTGCTGTTGCTTTCTTCGAATACGTCTTATGTCTTCGAAGACATAACATGCGATGCAGCTCAGCATATATCAACTTTTGTTTTGCGGGGGATGACGTTGTTTTATATTTTATTTTTTTGTTACGTCGATTAAATGCTGCTCTAGGCATGTTTTGCCTATTCCTTTTTCTAGGCATGATGAAAAAGTTGCAATTTCTTGCTGCAGTTCCAGACTTGTGGTGAAATGGAGTGGGGTGTATGCTTTAGTGGGCGTGTCAGTGTCTATCACGTCCGAGTCTTTCTCTGGAGTCTTTCTCTGGATGTTAGGCAAAACTTTTCCCAAAAATTGATCCCAAAATAGAATCGCTGTGTTAGACCAGGCACGATTAGGAACTCCAAGTTTTCGGTTTCGCCTTTTCATTCCATAATGACCACTGTCACTATGATTTCGTTGCCGCTGGCAGTGCGTACACTTTCTTCCTCCAGTTTCGTTATCTGTGATCTGTTTTTTAAGAATGCTTCTGCCCCCTACTAGCACCAGTAAGTGTAGTACTCGCGGCTGTTTCCCAGCTAATGTCGGCATTCTTCCACAAGGATAGCATCGGGAATACCTCCTTGTACGCCTGAGCGTTGGATCTCATTTACGGGTCTACTTCGCATCGGTTTCCCATGGTTTTTCAACATCGCTCCACTCGGAGCCCTTCCTTTTTAAGCTCTATTGGGGACATCAACAGTAAACCACCTATTTGGAGATCATGACATACTTTTGAAGTTTTACAAATTTATCCGCAGCGATCTTGTGTTTCAATTTAAAGTGTAAGTTGTGCATGTCGGAGACATAATTGCTGAAGGACTCGTTATACCCTTGTTTCCTCAAGAGTATCTTTCAGTTCTTTGTTCTTCATTACATCAATTCCAGTTGTGGAAAAAGCCCGTTTCATATCCCTGGTGAGTATTCAAAATCGTAATCCTCCGCTCGATCCTCCATTAGTTGCCAATTCCATTTGCTAACTGCGCCGACCAGTAGACTACGGAATTCTCTGAAAACTTGTTGTCGACTTATTCCATACAATTTTTGTAACCTTTCCACACGGAATAATAAACTTTCAACGGTCATACCGGGGCCGGTTCCATCGAATTTCAAGTTCTATTTATCTAGCCGAACCCCTTTTTCATACTAGACCTTAGACTCCGATCTAGATCTCCGATTCGGGGTGAAATTGGTGACTGGTCTCCGCTGCTACGCATTGTGGAGGTATCTGCCGTGGAGTGACCGTCTGGGATCCCTTAATCGATGCATTTGGCCATTAAAACACTGGTTCTCGTGTTGGGGTGTCTACGGAAGCTACCCGCAGGGTCTTTGGGTAGTCCAGGTGGTGGTGGTATTCTTTTATTCAATCCATCAGTTCGCTTTCCCGCCCGTTCACATCCCTCTCGTCTTTTGAAATCGCCTGGTACCATGGAAGCAATCTGGAGCGACCCCCTCTCGAGACTCTCTTTATTAAGTGCCTCATATAGTAGGGGGTGTCTCCCGCGCTTGCACTTCGCGGTGCACGGCTCACTTCTTTCGTGCGTAACCGTGTCACTCTCTCTGTGGATGGTTGGAATAAAACTTTTATTTTCGCCCCCTTCATTTATGTATTTGGGTTTCTTTATTTGGGAATTGTTTTAGATATTGCACGATCTATAATGAACGTTACTGACTACAATTTGTTATAATAAGATAGTTATGTTGGAGTGCTGTTATGCAATTAAGAGGTCTCTTGTCCGGTCAGTTCAAACAAACAATACATCCGCCCCGCACCGCTAAATTCGTTACCATTCTACTCCTTCTACTCCTTTTGGACTCGAGTCTCTAATAATACGTTGGAAGCGTCGGCCAAAAAAAATTAATTACTTAAGTCCAATATTCTATACATAGTCAAATTAATTTGTATGATTTGTATGTCTGTTTAGGTACGTTAATTTCACACTACAGGAATCTAGATCGTCGAACCTAATAACACCATTCCCTAAGAAATACGAAAACTCTGCGTTGGGCGTCAATTCTGTTACGTCGGCGTATTAGAGCCCGTGTCCTGGATACGACGAGCTTACGCTGGCAGCCTGGTGCCTGAACATCGGATGCCTCTCCCTCTACCCTAGTCCTTATCCAGGACACGGAACCTAATACGCCGACGCCTCTGACTTACATCATACATCGTACATCTTACATCGTAGAACCCTCCGCATGCTGATAAAACCTTTGTTTCTATTATAGCTCCGAGAGCAAGAAACACATTATTATAGAGGTTAAGTTCGTACAAAAATAAACACACCAACCAAAACGATACAAAAATGCGAATGCAAGTGCACAACACACTAAATAGTTAAAATAATTTATATATAAATAAAAGGCACTGCATACAACATATTTATTCGTTCCAAATAACAGAAAAGATTATTTCTGCTATATGTCATAATACCTAATAATTTGTTTCTTACAGGAGAATCAATAAAGCGTGCAGAAGATGAACATGTTCGAATAATTCAATCAATAATGGACAAATGTATGAAAAAGGAAACTTTATTAAATGAACTCTATCTCCAATTGATAAAGCAGACCACGGATCATCCAGATGCAAATTCAAGAGTAAATTTAAAAAATTGGGCACTTTTATGCGTTTTGTGTAGCGTAATTTTGCCGTCAATGAAGGCTGTTCGAAAATACCTAATTGCTCATTTGAAAAGATGCTCGAGTGATTTTTTATCTGAGGAGGGTAAATACGCACGATTTGCTGAAAATGTATGTACCGCTTACCTTATCTAATCAAAACAAATTACTCAGGTGTAAGAAAAATTATTATTATAATTGTGTATTATTATTCAAAAAGGTGCCCTGGTTCAAAAGAGTAAATCAGCTAGCTTCGGCAAGCCGAAGCTTATATACCCTTGCATATATCTTGCATACCCTTGCACTTCAGAGCAAACGATCGTCTTTTCTTTAATTCACTGCACAAATGTTGGTTGCTTCCAAAACAAATGAGTCAGGTTATAAAGCGTGAACAGCCAAAATGACTTTTTGGCTGCGCCATAAAATGGTATACACTAAATGTGGTAGTTTTAGCAGCCGAACAAGTGATCACCTAAATAAGGGTCCAAATCTAAAGGACTATTGCAATGCTTGCATCGGGACTGCAAACGAGATGAAATCGTGAAATGATCATCAGTTTTGACGTGGGCAGATAGAGTTTTCCACGATCTCCGTTCCATGCTAGAATATCAGTTTAATAGCCTTAAGATATTAGAGGGCTCTCGAAAGCGCAAAAAAGCATTTGCCGAAAGGTCTCCGGCAAGTGATCAATACGATTCCACAGCTGATCAGCTGTCGATCCAAGCTCCAATATTTTCTAAGATCGGCAGCTAAAAAGTATTTGGAGCATTTTTATCGATTAGATTTAATCCGAAACCAACCGAATTGGGGTAAATGTTGGGGGTGAAGATGATAGAATTTCTGAGACCAAGCACACTTTTGGGACCAAAAGAACAGTAGGATCGTCAACCCGAAATATTTTGTCCAAAGACCATATAATTGGAGTGTGATTCTCGTCGATTGGGTTGACACGACAAAAAGTTATCAGTTTACGACTAGAGCAATTAAAGTTTGTTAAGTTATTACGGCACCATATTTGAAAGCTGTCTAGATCGGATTGTAAGTCCAAATGACACGTAATTTTCTTATGCTGCTGATAAAGGGGTTTAATATTGTTAGTAACCGCTTTATTATTGTAACAATAAATTGTTACTATTATTTAATTATTATTGTTAGTAACCGCTTTATTTAAACAAGAGAGAACTATAGTTCCTCGACTATCAGATACCCGTTACTCAGTAAGTAGGAGAGCGAAGGAAAAAAAAATTAAACAAATTTCAAAGGTGTGTGCGTAACGGTTTTGGTCGGCTTGTGGACGTTAAAATATTTTTGATATACCAATAGCAATGACAATGAAATGAAACAAATCAACATTTGTCCCATAATATGGTGTAACGAACTGTGTTTATTAGTTCTGCTCGCTACGAATTGCAACGGCTAGGTCAGAGAGTTTGTTTGTTCGTCCCACCAAATTCCTGATTTGTGTGATTGCCCGACCAAGGAGAAGACATAGTTTTAGGTTCGAACAGCTTTATTTGCAGAATTCTTCAATGATAGACTTCTACAGTCCTCGCTGTCGGCTGCGCGGCGTCGGTCCTTCGTCGTCCTTCCCTTGTTCTCGATCGCTTACCCCTGCCGACTCGAATGAGGCTTAGGATGTTATGGTGGGGGGGTGTATCGCTCGTTAGGTCAAGCTGATGCTCTTCCCCGAACCACATTTGCCGACCAATGACTCCACCGTCCCTTCTGACCTTGCCAGGTTCATTTGCACTGCCCGATATCCTTCGTTGTTCTGCGGCGTCCCCGCCAGCGGTCTCGTGCTTGGGCTTAGGGCTTAGGATGTTATGGTGGTCACGTAAAGCCAACGCCGACTCCACTGACCCTTCTGACCGTGCCAAGTTCTTCACTTGCAGGGATCGTCCTCCTGCGTCTCTCGCGTTCTCACTGACCGTTCACTTGTCCCGGGGTATGGCTCTTCGCGTACTCTTCCTCCTGACCGTGGGACCCGGGGTACAGCTCCTCGCGTATTCTCACTCGAGAGTTCGACTCTAACATCTTCGCGCCCTTCTCCAGCCTCCTTCCGTTGTCCTGTACCTTCCTGATCTCAGCCTTGGCGTCTCAACATAGTAGACCCTGTCGGTTATCGTCTTGACGTGGAATCTTGATCCTCCATATCACTCTTGACTCCTCTCGTCGACCTGCGCGTCCTTGTTCTCAGCCCGGAAGTCTCAGCCTAGTAGACCCCATCGTTTAGAGTCTTGACTCGGCATCTTGAGCCGCGCGCCCTTCTCCAGCTTCCTTCATCTGCTGCCGTCTGCTCCTCGTCACTAGCTCTGTATTTAAACTTTCCGTCTGCTTTTAAAGTCCACATATTCTCGTGTCCGGCGTTGCCACTTCCTGTTCATATTGATATTCCTGGTGTTGCCATGTTGTGCCGATCCATGCGTATCCAGTATTTCTGTTCCCTATCGCCGCTATCGCGCAACCATCCCGATTACCGCCAATGTTTTGATGCCAATAGCTGAGTTGGTATGTTTTCCTTAACATACAGCCTTCTGGTGTCATCCTTGATCCTGATGTTAAGGATTACTCTGCATCCCTGGTACTCTTACCCTGCCAGTAACCACTCGTAGTCGGCAATTTTCCTCCATGACAGCGATTTTACCTCTGCCGGTGCATGATCTCGCCTTGGGGACGGAGACCGTACCTATGGTGCGGTTGCGGTTTGCTGGCTTCTGCAGTATAGTCTTTGGCCTTCCTCTCTTCAGGAATCGTCCTCCTGCTTCATCTAACACCGTGCTTCCCGTGTCTCCAACTTCAACTCCAGCTTCTCATGCTTCTTGGACACGGCGTAAATCTCTTTAATCTTGGCTCCTTGACCAGGACAATCACATTGGGCGCCAGATGTAACGAACTGTTTTTGTTGGTCCTGCTCCCTACAAATTGCAACGGCTAGCTGAGAGAGTCCCAGCAAATTGAACCTTCTGACCGTGCCCAGTGCTCCACTTGTAGGGACCGTCCTCCTGCGTCTCTCGCGATCTCACTGACTGTTCACTTGTCCCGGGGTAAACTCTTCGCGTACTCCCGCCACTCTCACTGACTGCCTTTCCCGGGGTATAGCTCCTTGCGTATTCTCACTGACTGTCGTACCTGGGGTACAGCTCCTCGCATATTCTCACTGACTGTCGGACCTGGGGTACAGCTCTTCGCGTGTTCTCACTGAATGTCTGTCGCGCGGTCGCGTCGGGACTGCGCCCGTACTCTGCCCGATTACCCTCTTGCACGCATGACTTTTGCGTGTTTAGGTGACTGTCTCGAGCTGCTCTTGCGCCGTCCCTTTTATAGGCCGCGGGGATCCCGTTATTTCCCCTTTTTCGTTAGTTCACGGTGTGTCCTCGTGCTCGACAAAAGTCCACACCGTTACCGTTCGACCTCTGTGCCCTTGGCCGGCATGAGTCCAAGCTCCAGCGCGGTACCGTTAGTTCACGGTCTCTCCGCTTTTCTCGGGTCTAAGGTCCATCAATTCCCGTTTGACCTGGTTGCCCTTGACTCCTCCTGCATTCCAACCTTCTTCGCTGTTGCAAGGCTGCTCTGCTGCACCTTGATTTGTGGAGAGTTTTAAAACTCCGTTGTAACCGAGTTCTAAGCGTTATTGTGAGCGTGGCAACGTTTTGAAAAAACGTGCACAGCGGAGTCGTCAGTAGAATCAGCTTAATCTTAACTTTCCATATTTTTTAATTCATCAAAACACAGCGTTCTTACAGACGAACAGACGTGCTGACAGGCGGACGGACAGACGTTCATGGCCAGTTGGACTTTCCTACTGATCCTGATTATAAATATAGTAACATATCCATTCAACACTCACAACTCCCCAAATCCACAAAACATAATTAAACAACATACAAAAGTGTAAACACAAAAAAACAAAAACTCTACTACAACAAAAAGAAACCAAATTAACCATGGCAACCGAACAAGTCCAATTGTTATCGGAATCCCGACATGAATGAATCAAGCCATACGTCAAATTGGCAACACCCAAGGTCTCAGTGCCTTTATCCGAAGGATCGATTTCAATGGAAGTATCCATAAGTTCGTCGAAGAATTAGAAACTAAATCATTCACAATATCAAAAAGGCATATGCTAGAAAACAACATTAACAACACCGTCACAATTACATTGAACAATAAAGTTAAAGATGTAATCATGAGAAATGATAATCATGAAAAAAATAGGTTATTTATGACTCTTGCTAGACATGACATAACGACAAGGTGTATAACAAAAAGGTGTATACGAAATAACTTTCAATGACCAAACAAAACCCCAAAATAATTTTAACACAAGCCTACCGCAAACCTCAAAGAATAAAGGAAACTATCAAAATTTCTCAAACAATGCTATAATAACACAAATAAATCAACTCCAAACACTAATTCAAAGCCCGCTGAATCAAATCAGCAAGTTATGCATGAATTCAAACAAAAGCTAAATCAAGGCAGAGCCCAGAACCTTTTAAACTACCAACAAAAATGTAGTAATGCAACCAACCCTCCCGTCAAACGGCAAAGGGAAAGTGCTAGTGGACACAAGCAAAAATTTTCTTCAACCAGCCTCGGAGTCAGAAAGCTATTCAGAGGAGGAGGTAATCCGTTCTTAAAAATTAAATTGAATTATATTACTCTCAAATGTCTAGTAGACACTGGTTTGTCTATTAATATTAACAACAAAATTTCTTTAATTTCCCAATCCAACCTCCTAAGATAAAAGTCCACACTATAAATGGCACTATAGTATGAACCAAAGCGTTTCACTGCATCCCAGCAAACTTTGTCCCACTAAACAAACATTCTTTATTCACAATTTCTCAGAAAAATATAACTTACTATTAGGCAGAAACTATTTAGAGTCAACCAACACTCTAATTAACTATTCAACACAAACAGTCAATATAAATGGCTATCCATTCAAAATGTGGTGCGATCAGAGAATCAGAGAAAACCCTCCGTAAAATTAAGCGGAAAATTAAGTTCAAATGAGTCAAATGTTACTAATAAGTGCCCTAACCATCTAATCCAGAAGAGTCCAAGACTACCTATGAAGAGTCCAAGACTATCTCTTACATAGAAGAAGGCCTTCTAGTAACATC